ATGTTATTTTCTTTTTTTTAATCTGTTTTAAGAAAAATTACAACAAACACGGTTCAACGAGAATAATTCAAAATTTAAAGTATAAAGTAGAATTTTAAAGTTTAAATAGTGCACTAAAAACGACTTAAAAGTTCACGCACCGTTGATAATATCTCGCACGCTCCCAAATAGTTTAACAAAGAAAAAAAGAAAACGGAAAAAGAAATTTCGGAGAATATTACCATTACACCACCGCATAAAATCGCACCGCTTTCTTTCCTTTCTCTCTCCGACAATCGAATTCTAGAGCGAGAAACGCCAGACAAACGCGAAAAAGAAAAAAGAAAAAAGAGAAAAGAAAAGGAAGAAGTGTTTGTAGAGAGAGAAAGTCGGACCTGATTATCAAAACAACAACAAAAAAAAAGTCGGACCTGCTTCTTTCCATTTGGTCTCGAGACTTTCTTCAACAATGGCGGGTTTTAGGGTTTCTAGGGGTTTGTGACTGGCGAATTCGGCGGCAATCTCGATGGAAATGCCCGGTAGGAGATCGAACTACTCGCTCCTCAGCCAATTCGACGATGACCAGTACGGCGGCGGCGGCGGCGGAGGTGTCGCCGGAGGTTCGTTCTACGAGACTGTGTCGGGGGAGGGGAAGAGCAACAACAACAAAGGGAAGGTGGAGAGAGGATTTGACTGGGAATCGCCGGGAGGCGATCACAGAGGGAATAACAACAATAACAATAATAATCAGCAGGTGAATCGGATCGGGAATATGTTCTCGTCGTCGTCGTCGACGATCGGGTTGCAGAGGCAGTCGAGCGGGAGTAGCTACGGCGAGAGCTCGCTCTCCGGTGAGTATTACGGGCCGACTCTGTCGGCCTCGGCGGCCAACGAGATCGACGCGCTCGGGTACTTGCATGACGATGTGTTCAAGATTGGCGGCGGCGGCGGCGGCGGAGGAGGAGTAGGAGGGCAGTACAGGTTGAAGGGCGTGGACGGAGGCGGCGGGACCGGGGGATCGTCGTGGTCGGGGAAGAGCTGGGCGCAGCAGACGGAGGAGAGTTACCAATTACAGCTGGCTTTGGCGCTCCGGTTGTCGTCCGATGCGACTTGCGCAGATGATCCCCATTTCTTGGATCCGGTGCCCGACGAATCCTCCATAAGGACGGCGTCGTCGAATTCGGCCGAGGCCGTCTCGCATCGGTTTTGGGTAATGAGTTTATTTTTTGTATCTAGTTTTCAGTATGCAATTGGCATCCCTTACAAATTCACTGTCTCCATTGATGTATGTAGAAAAAGCCTTCGACTTTAACTATTCGTTTGAAGTTTTATGTTCAAGGCAAATTTGATAGGTTAGTTATTGTTTAGAGTGAATACCTTTCATTATGGGTAGTTTGAATCTCGTTAGCTGATGGATTTAATATTACTATAGTTAGTTCAATCTTATTCAAAGTGTTTCAATTTCTTTTCCAAGGATGTTTCCGGGTATCAATTATCCGGAATTTCTGACCGTTGAATTTGGCATTATGGGCATTCCAATTACATTTATGCATCATATTTCGTGTTAAATAGGTCTCCTAGTTTTTCTTCTCGATCTCATAATAGATCATCTTAATTCCCATTGTGTCAAAGGCACTATAATCTGGCCAGTCTATATGCTTGGCGTCAGAAAGTAACCTCTTTCTCTCTAGATTAGTTGCATAATTGACACAACTTGTCTAGCAAGTCAACTAGAAAAACAGACAGCGCCAACAGTTGCTAAATATTCTCCTATGCTATTCTTGTACAGTGCCTAACTTTAGTTTAGTTTATTTCCTACTCAAAAGAGGATTTCAAAATAGTCGCATTATGATGCATCTTTTTTACAGAATTTAATTTTTTAGGTTATGCTTGGCGTTAGAAACTAAGCTCTCTCTCTCTCTGACTTTAGTTTAGTTTATTTCCTACTCAAAAGAGGATTTCAAAATAGTCGCATTATGATGCATCTTTTTTACAGAATATAATTTTTTAGGTTATGCTTGGCGTTAGAAACTAAGCTCTCTCTCTCTCTCTCTATTCTTTCCCCCTCCCCACCGACCCAGTAAAGCGGAGAGATTGGAACTATCTAAGCAAGAAGATTAATGCAAATGGTTGCAACTAACATAGCATATCCCATTTCATTTATGAGGAAGTAGTGTTTTTTTTGTCTTGCACTAAGACAGGAGATCAAATATATTTTGATGATACCTGAGTATACAACAAACCTATTAGAGCGACACTTTTTGTTAATTTGGACGTGTTATGCTGCTTCAAAACTGGCCATACCAATAGTTTCTTTTTATTAATTTTATTTTTAATTTTTTAACACTTATATGAACTGAACAATTCTCCTGTCATACCACTATAAAATAATCAGGTGAATGGCTGCCTCTCGTACTTTGACAAAGTTCCTGATGGCTTTTACCTAATTCATGGAATGGATCCATATGTATGGACTATGTGCACTGATCTGCAAGAGAATGGTCGTATACCATCACTTGAATTGCTCAAGTCCGTTGACTCTAGCATTGGCTCTTCAATTGAAGCAGTTCTTGTTGATAGACGTAGTGACCCCGGTTTGAAGGAACTGCACAATAGAGTCCTAAGCATTTCTTGTAGCTGTATAACAACCAAAGAAGTTGTAGATCAGCTTGCAAAGCTTGTATGCAGTCGCATGGGGTAAGTTGTTTGCTGTTCTTTCAACTTTCTTTTCTTAGCCTTCCACTCTTTCGGACAT